AAGACTTAAACAGTTTTTCCATATATTGCAGGTATATGTGTGTATTCATTAAAACTCAGTGCCTATGACTCAGTGGTATAAGATGGGCCTGTCATCAAGACTAGTCTGAAAACTTCTGAGTACCAACCACGTGTTAGATCCTCAGGTCAATGAATGAGACAAGAATCATGTGAATGACCACAGTTACACATTGTAGGTATCTATAGAGAGTTTCTTTACTGCTTGTAGAGTCTTAATGATGCCAAATCAATAGCAGCATTAAGAAGGGCAAGGCCCTCATGGACAGTCAGAAAAGTCTTTCCAGAGATTGCAGGTAAGATATAAATTAATAATTCCAGGGTGGGGGTAGGGTATGAGTTAGGAAAAATGGGGAACAGTGTTTGGGGGCTTCTCAGCAGCTGTTCAGTTGAGCATGTGTCACAGGTATTCTGTGGTGTCTCTTAATGTAGGCTTTCCATTTTGTAGTCCTTTTAGATTCTGTACCTGCTGTCTAAGCTCAGTACACCAGTCTGCAGGAAGTATTTTTGAGACTCTACTTCAGTAATTGTTGCTGTTTTCTTCTATAAGGAATAAGTAATTGTACTGCCTCCCTAAAGGTAGGAAGAACAGAACAAAGTCCTTGAATAAAGATAGCAAGTTCATTCAGTGATTAAGCTTGGGTTCTGTATATGCTTAACCTCAAGTCAGTGTGAAAGTTTGGGTGTTTTCTTTGTATGAATGAGGAGATGTACATGGTTGAGTTTCAAGCCATGTTGATAAAGATAGCTTTGTGACTGAGGGTAAGAGACTGGAAGACAGATATGACTAATATGACATAGAAGGTAATTCCTTAAGTTCATCTGTTCTGATTCCTTATAAGAAATGAGAATTACAAAGGGCTTTCTTCTGCATTGTGCTAGAATCCTAAGAATGAATGCTGGTCCTGTTTAGAGAAAGCAGTACAGAGGGAAAGAAAGCAAGAAGATTAACCATACTGGAAACTATGTACTCTAGCACACTTGAAGTCATTAGAAAGCAGATGGATAGGAAGGGAATAAAGGAACTGGGCATTTATTATTTAACAGCAAGTGTGCTAAAGTTTTTCTGTTAATACCAAAGCATTTAACAAAGATGATATGGATTCAAATCATGGCACCATCACCAATTAGCTTTGTAATGTCAGATGAACTTTTGACGTACTCCAGTTTTTTTCATTGACAAGCCAGTTATTAGAGTCAGGTGAGATAATGCAGACCAAAGGTTTGTTTTTAGAGTGTAAAACACTCAAAGAAATTATGTCCCCTCATTTTTTTTCTTCTCTTACATCCTGCCTCTTTAGTTTCTAGGGAACAGTTTGCAGCAGGTGTTTGCTTATCTGGTCCAGGCTGGCAAATCAGTTTTTCTCTCTTGCTGGCTCATACTCATGCACAGAAGCAATTCTGCTTTCTTTCTACTTGATATATAAAATGAATTAAAATTCCCTGGAAACATTATGTTCTATCCTACCTCTCTCCAACAGAAACAGCAGCTTAGTGCACAGAACAGAACAAAGAAAAACACCACAGGATTTTAGCAAATAGTACAAAGGGAAAGATATAGGGACCTGGTGGGCATAGCCTTCCATACTGGTTATTTGGAAAGACAGGGAGTTTGTGCAGTAGGATCTCAGCTATTGGCACTGCAGAGACTTGAGTTTGAGTCTGTGATATCTCTATTCATTTGCTAGGCGTGTGACCTTTTGTCAATCACTTCGCCTCTCAGAATCATAAATTCTGTATCCTCAAAGTTTAGAGTTAATATTGTCCTCCAGGTTAGTATGAAAACTAGAGATAATGATTGTGGAGACAACATAAGTACACAGTCCTGCTTTTTTTTTTTTTTTGGACAGGCAGAGTGGACAGTGAGAGAGAGAGACAGAGAGAAAGGTCTTCCTTTGCCGTTGGTTCACCCTCCAATGGCCGGCGCACCGCACTGATCCGATGGCAGGAGCCAGGTACTTCTCCTGGTCTCCCATGGGGTGCAGGGCCCAAGCACCTGGGCCATCCTCTACTGCACTCCCTGGCCACAGCAAAGAGCTGGCCTGCAAGAGGGACAACCGGGACAGAATCTGGCACCCCGACAGGGACTAGAACCTGGTGTGCTGGCGCCGCAAGGCATAGGATTGGCCTAGTGAGCCAAGGCCATGGCCATAGTTCTGCTCTTTTTACATGCAGGAATCTATACATGGTACTATCTCTTTGACTTTGTGGGTGGTCAGAGTGACTCAGGTGTCCTATTTCCTGGAGTTGAAGCCTGGGGCTATCCCCCACTGTCAGTGTTTCTTTACAGCTTTGTGATAGTAACATGGTTATTATCTCAGAGGGAACCAGGAAAGCAGAGATCTCTTGAACAACTTTGCTTTTGGTTTAACTAGGTATTTAGTACTGGAGTTCTTTTATGGAGGTTTCATTGTGCACAAGGGGACTTTGGGAGTCTTACTGTTTGCAAGGAAAAGGCAGGATTCTTTGTAGCTTCTCAGGTAGGGAGGACTAATGTTTCATCCAGCCCAGTTTAGGATGGCCGTGGCAACATGTGAATGAATGGTCTCCTTGTTCTTACAAAATAGGGCCCATTCTGCATTCTCCATGTTCAGACCCTCTGATTCTCTCTCCACTCCTCTCTCCCTGAATCTTTTGGGTAGAAGTTTTTGCAAAATAAATCAGAAGACAGAAAAGATGCCTTTTCAATTTATTCCAACCTGATATATCTACCCCTCCAAATCCTCCAATTCCACTAAAAAGGGGCAACACTTTGTGGCACTCTTTTGAGGAGCTTAAATCCCTACTCTCTTTGACATGGATGTGTTGAGCCTAGCATTTTTAAAATAAAGAGTTTTCTGATACAAGGATGTGCCTTGGTACCTAGTCTTTGGGTGGTAGTAGTTTATGAAATGTAGGAGCAGAGATGTGACCTCTAATTATATATTTGCTTGCTTCTCTTTAGCCTTCTGAGTCTCACCACTTGGAAATAAGTGAATCAGTATTAGTGAAACTAACATTTTGAAGAGTTTACTTTTTTCTTTTAGGAAACATAAAAAACTGTGGCTCAGAGCCATTGTGGTCTTTGGGTCAGAGAGTTTGCACCAAGAGGAATGTGAGCACCTACCTCATAATGTTGTGAGGATTAAGGGAGTCAATACATGTAAAGTGTTCCAAATAGTGCCTGGCACAGGGTGACTGCTGTAGGATACTATCCCATTCACTCTTGGGCGGGATCTTCCGCTGATCCCAGGGCACCACCCCCTCCACAAGCACTATCATCTGCTCAACCCCAGAAATACATCCAGAGAGAAGGCAAACACAAAAGACCACATCTTATATGGTTCCAGTAAATTAAATGTCCAGAATAGGCAAATCCATATTACAGAGAGTGGATGAGTGGCCTTCCTAGGGCTGGAAGGAGTGGGGATTTTAAAAAGTATATAACGTCAAGGGTATAGGGTTTGTTTTTTGGAACATGAAGTTCTAAAATAAAAATTCTGTGTGTATGTTAAAAATCATTGAGTGATGTACTTTACGTGGGTGAATTGTATAGTATGTGAGTGGTATCATAATAGAGCTATTAAAATATCCAGAGTTTTAACCATTGCTTCACATGAGTGTCATGCTAGTCCAAGAAATGGGCATCTCCCTCCTGGATTCCTGAAATAGTCTCCTAACTGGACTTCCCAATCTCACAAGTGTCTTATCCACAGGATATGCATTTTTCTGTGTAAAGCACAATATACCTGCCTTGACTGTTTTACCACTTCCCTTTATACTCAACAATCAGAGTTAAAATCTTACCACAGCCTCAAGGTTCTGCATAATCTGGTCCTAGTACCTTCTTCCTCAGCCTCCACTCTCCCCTTTTCTGTTTTGCTTATACCGTACTGGCTTGCTTGCCCTATAGCATACCAGTTCATTCCTGCTGGTTCCAATACCTGAGAATTTGCCCCCACCTTCTTGTGACCTGTTGTGTTCTCAAAGATCATTGAATCAGAGAAGCTCTTCTTGCCCACCTCTTTAAAAATCATCCCTTCTCCAACAATGCCTAGCTAGTGATCCATCTTACTTTCTTTATAGCACTTATCAATTTAGTTGTGTTGATATTTTGCCTATTTCTTTGCTTATTGGAAGTCTCCCTCACTAGTAGGTAAATTTTAGGAGAACAGGGCTTTGCTCTTGTTCATCAGTATATTCCTAGCACCTAGAACAGTGCCCTGCCCTCAGGGTTTGTTGAGTGAATGAATAAATGAAACAAAGAGATAAAGCCACCACATTGGCTGCAGATACAGAGACACAAACACACAGGCTTATCATGCTCACTCTTTTTCCTATGTAAACTTCCAAGTCTAGGACCTCTTTTGGAGTAGCTCACCTGTTTTGAAGTTGAGAAAATATTCGTGGGAGTGGAGAGAAACAGGTATTTGACTTAATGCTTAAGATTCTGCACAGGATGCCTACATCCCATATTGGGAGTGCCTGGTTTAAGTCTCAGCTTCTTCACTCCTCCAATTTAGCTTCCTGTTAATGTACACTCTGGAAGCCAGCAGTCCAAGGCTCAAGTACTTGAGCCCCTGCCACCCACGTGGGAGACCCTGATGGAGTTCCTGGCTCCTGACTTCAGCCTGGCTCAGCCCTACCTGTTGCAGGTATCTGGGGGAGTGATCAGCAGAAGGAAGGTCTGTCTGTCTGTCTGTCTGTCTCTCTTTGAAAGTTTCTAGATCTCTCTGCCTTTCAAATAAAATGAAAATAAATAAAAACTTTAAAAAATGTCTAAGGAAGGAGTTCTTTGGGGGCCTTTCTCAATACCATTCAGCTTGTTCTACTTAGAAGTTTGATGTTTAAATTATTTCCATGAAAGTCTATGAAAAGACAGAGGATTTCAGAACCTATGCTTTGTCAGCAATTCCTGGTCTGAAGGTCAGCAGTGCTGGGTTGGTGGCATAAACCTGGGGTGCAGTTTTAATAGGACCAGTTTTTATTCTCAGGTTTACTTACAGTGTGGACTTTCTTGGGCCCCTGTCCTCAGAAGAATCCTAGCGATGGGCACGTTGTTAGTCATGATGGCAATATCCAGGGGGGTCAGCCCCTCACTGTTAGGTGTGTTGAGATCTAGTTCTTCTGCTGTATACTGATACAGGAGGATCTGTACAGCATCAATGTCCTGCTGTTCGACCGCCTCAAACATGGCTTCATTGCCCTGGAAATTCTGGGGAAGCAGAGTAGAAGTAGGTTAGTGAAATCTCATAGAACAGTGTGAATTGACAGCTTAGCTATTTGAATTTCAGAGACTGCTTCAGGGACTATATGATATAACTGTAATTTATCCCAGGGACTCCAAAGTATGCATTATATAGGATCTTCCTCCCGTTCTTTCTAATAAGCACTGAATACGTAATAAATATTGTGTCACTAAGACCATGTATAGCACCGCTAGTTATAGTTAAGGGCAAAAATGAGTTTTTCTCAACCAGTCTTGCAGAATACTGTTTGATAGACAATTAAAAGGTATTCTATGAAAAAAAAGCATGTGGTCAAATAAATTTGATAAACATTGGATTAAATCAAGTTACTCCATGGTTTTACTGTAAGAATTCTCAGGAATTTTAATCTTTTTAATATATATTTGATTACATTGCTTTAACTACTTTTGGAATAGTGTTCTACAGGACACGATTTGTGGAAATGCTGGCATAGATAGCATTAGCAAAGGTGGTTTCTATTATGTCTAGCTTGAAATTCAGAGTACGCTTTCTCTATTTTCTCTCAAACCCATCTCTTCTTTATCTCCAAGTCTCTGTGTCATCATCCCTTGTCTGGATTGTGATAGTGACCTTTTGCTGCTAGTCTTGGTTCCTCCAGCCCATGCTACATACTGATACAAGAGTAATCTTCTTGAAATATACATGTTAAGGGGCCAGCACTGTGGCACAGTGGGTTAACACCCTGGCCTGAAGTGCTGGCATCCCATATGGGCATTGGTTCGAGACCTGGCTGCTCCACTTCCCATCCAGCTCTCTGCTATAGCTTGGGAAAACAGTAGAAGATGGCCCAAGTCTTTGGGCCCCTGCACCAGTGTAGGAGACCCCGAAGAAGCTCCTGGCTCCAGGCTTCAGATAAGTGCAGCTTCGGCCTTTGCAGCCAATTGGAGAGTGAACCATCGGATGGAAGACCCCCCCACTTTCTCTCCTCCACCCCCCTCCTCTTTCTGTGTAACTCTGATTTTCAAATAAATGAATAAATCTTAAAAAAAAAAAGAAGTATACATGTTAAGTGTCACCTCCTTGTTTACAAATCTCTAATATTTCCACATGTCAGCAGTCTGCTGGCCACATTCCTAGACTTTGGTCTCTAACGCCATACCTCTTCAATGCAGAATCCCAATCACTGAACACCTGGCATTTCTGAGCACTGTAGTTTGGTGCTGAAGAGAGCAAGAAGTGCAATATTTATAGAATGCTAAATCACCTGCAGAAAAAAATAGCTAAACACTTATGGTTTTTCTGAAAAGTTATTTCAAAGGATGAATACTAAACCAAAGCAAAGAGATCTGGAATTCTCTCAAATACATGTTTCTGGAGCTTATGAGAGACTTTAGGAAGTTTGTGGTCATGGAAGACTTTTCCATTTTTTGTGTCTTCTAGTTCGTTCCTTAATATTTTGTATTTTTCATTGTAGTATCTTTCATGTCCTTGGTATTCACATCCCAAGATATTTAGGTTTTTTATTAGGTATTATGAATAGGACTGATCTTCCAAGTTCTTTCTCAGCTATGGCACTGTTTGTGTATACAAATGTGATTGATTTTTGTGTGTTGATTTTTATATCCTGCAACTTTACCAAACTCTCTTATGAGTTCCAATAGTCTCTTAGTGGAGTCTTTTGGTTCTTTTATGCATAAGATCATATCATCTGTACACAGGGATCATTCGGCTTCTTCCTTCCCCATTTGTTTCCCTTTCATTTCTTTTTCTTGTCCAATGGCTTTTGCTAAAACTTCCAGAGCTATATTAAATAGTAATGTAAGAGTAGGCATCCTTGTCTGGTTTCAGATCTTCGATGAAATGCTTCCAGCTTTTCCCCATTCAACATGATGCTGGCTGTAGGTGTGTCAAATATTGCCTTGATTGTGTTCTGTATTCTTTCTGTATCCAATTTGCTTACGGTTTTTGTCATGAAAGGATGTTGTATTTTATCAAGTGCTTTCCCTGCATCTATTGACATAATCACATTTTTTTATTCTTGGTTAATGTGATGTATCACTTTTATTGATTTGCATACATTGAACCATCACTGCACACCAGGGATAAATCCCACTTGGTCTGGGTGAATGATCTTTCTGAAAGTTGCTAGATTGGATTAGCTAGTATTTGGTTGAGGATTTTGGCATCTATATTCATCAGGGAAATTGGTCTACAGTTTTCTTTGTTGAGATTTTTTTATTTATTTGAAAGTCTGGGTTACAGAGAAAGGGAGAGAGAGAGGGAGGAGAGAGAGAGAAGGAGGAGAGAGAGGGAGAAGAGAGGAGAGAGGAGAGAGAGAACACTTCCATCCATTGGGGTTCACTGCCTAGATGGCCTCAACAGTCAGTGCTGGGCCAGGCTGAAGCTGGGGGCCAGAAGCTTCATTGAAGTCTCCTACATGGGTGCAGGGGCCCAAGGGCTTGGACAATCTTCCACTGCTTTCAGAGGTGTATTATCAGGGGGCAGGATTGGAAGTGGAACAGCCAGGACTCAAACCAGTGCCCATATGGTTTGCCAGTTTCACAGGTGGCAGCTTTACCTGCTTTGCTACGGCACTAGCTCCGAGTTGTATCTTCTCATTTTGGAATTAAGCTGATGCTGGCTTCATAGAGGGAGTTTGGGAGCATTCCCTCCCTTTCAACTGTTTTGATTAGTTTAAGGAGAATCTTTAAAAATTTGGTGGAATTCAGCAGTGAAAACATCTGATCCTGGGGGTTTCTTTGTTGGGAGGGTCTCTATTACTGATTCGATCTCTTGTCCTGGTTATTGGTTTGTTTAGGTTTTTTGCGTCCTCATGACTCAATTTTGGTACATTGTATTTGTCCAGAAATCTGTCCATTTCTTCTAGATCTCAAGATTGCTGGCATATTGTTGTTTGTAGTAATTTCTGATAATTGTTTTTATTTCTGCAGTTACCTGTTTTAACATCTCCTTTTTCATCTTTCATTTTATTAATTTAGATCTCCCTTTTTTTTTTTATTTGACAGATAGAGTTAGACAGTAAGGGAGAGAGACAGAGAAAAAGGTCTTCCTTCCATTGGTTCACCCCCCAAATGGCTGCTACAGCCGGAGCTACGCCGATCTGAAGCCAGGAGCCAGGTGCTTCCTCCTGGTCTCCCATGGGGGTGCAGATGCTCAAACACTTGGGCCATCCTCCACTACCTTCCCGGGCCACAGCAGAGAGCTGGACTGGAAGAGGAGCAACCGGGACTAGAACCCAGCACCCATATGGGATGCCAGCGCCGCAGGCAGAGGATTAACCAAGTGCTGGCTCCTAGATCTTTTTTTTTTTTTTTTTAAAGTCCATATTGCCCAAAGCAATTTACGGATTGAATGTGATCCCAATCAAAATACCAAAGATGTTTTTCCCTGATCTGGAAAAAAATGACCTTAAATTCCTATGGAATCACAAGAGACCTAGAATAGCTAAAGCAATCCTCAACAATCAAATAAAGCTGGAGACATCACAATACCTGATTTAAAGACATACTACAGGGTAGTTATAATCAAAACAGTCTGGTACTGGCACAAAAATAGACATGTGGTCCAATGGAATAGAGACCCCAGGAATTAATCAATATATCTACAACTAACTAGTCTTTGACAAGTGAGCTAAAATCACTTCTTGGAGAAAGTACAGGTCTCTTCAACAAATGGTGTTGGGAAAATTAGATCTTTGCTTGCAGAAGTATGAAACCAGGCCTCTACCTTACACCCTATATAAAAATCAACTCACAATGAATCAGGGGTCTAAATCTAGGACCTCAGACCATCAAATTACTAGAGGAAAACATAGGGAAAACACTATAAGACATTGGCCTAGGCAAGGACTTCTTGGATAATACCCCAGAAGCACAGGCAATAAAGACAACAAATGAAATTATATCAGGCTATGAAATTTCTTCACAGCAAAGGAAACACTGAACAAAGTAAAACAACAAACAGAATGGGAGAAAATACTTGCAAACTATATATCTGATAAAGCATTATTATCCAGGATATATAAGGAGCTCAAGAAACACAGCAAAGCTGGTGCTGCGGCTCACTAGGCTAATCCTCTGCCTGCGGCGCCGGCACCCCGGATTCTAGTCCTAGTCAGGGCGCCACATTCTGTCCTGGTTGCTCCTCTTCCAGTCCAGCTCTCTGCTGTGGCCCGGGAGTGCAGCGGAGGATGGCCCAGGTCCTTGGGCCCTGCACCCACATGGGAGACCAGGAGAAGCACCTGGCTCCTGGCTTTGGATCGGCACAGTGTGCCGGCCACAACGCACCAGCCATAGCGGCCACTTCGGGGGTGAACCAACAGAAAAAGGAAGACCTTTCTCTCTCTCTCTCTCTCTCTCACTGTCTGACTCTGCCTGTCAAAAACAAACAAACAAACAAACAAAAAACGCAGCAACAACAAAACATACAATCCAGTAAAAAATGGATTAAGGATGTTAACAGGCATTTTTTCAGAGGATGGAAAACAAATGGCCAATAGACATGAAAATATGTGCAGGATCACTAGCAACCAAGGAAATGCAAATAAAAGCCACAGTGAGGTTTTACCTCACCCCAGTTAGAATGGCTATAATACAAAATTAACAAATACTGTTGAGGATGTAAGAAAAAGGTGACTTAATACATGGATGGTCGGAAGGTAAACTAGTACAATCATTATGGAAGACAGTATGGAGATTTCTCAGAAATCTGAAAATAGTTCTGCCATATGACCGGGCCACGCCAGTACAGGGAGTTTACACAAAGGAAATGAAATCAGCATATGAAAGAGTGATCTGTACCCCCATGTTTGTAGCAACTAAACTCAAAATAGGTAAGATATGGAATCAACCCAGATGTCCATCAACTGATGAATGGATAAAGAAATTGTAGAATATATACATGATAGAATATTACTTAGCTATAGAAAAGAATGAAATCCTATCTTTCACAACAAAATGGATGCAATTGGAGACCATTATGCTTAGTGAAACAAGCCTGTCCCCAAAAGACAAACACCATGTTTTGTTTTTCCTGACTTGTGGTAACTAATGTACAAAGTAAAAAAACTGTAATGCATATGAGAAAAATTGACATTTTGAGATTTGATCATTGTTTATAACCCTTGTCTATACTCTTGAGGAACAGTGGTTTTTATATTGACTACTTGTTGAATTCTTTCTTCAGTAGAGGATGAAGCTTGTGATTTTAGAGTAAACTGAAAGTATGTCATTGTAAAAATTTTAAAAAAAATTAAGAAAGAATAGGGGAGGGAGGGAAGGTAGAGTGGGAGGTATCATTATGCTCTTAAAAGTGTATATATGAAGGGACCAGTGCTGTGGCACAGCAGGTTAAAGCCCTGACCTGAAGTGCAGGCATCCCATATGGGCACCAGTTCTAGTCCTAGCTGCTCCACTTCCAATCCAGCTCTCTGCTGTGGCCTAAGTCCTTGGGCCCCTGCATCCATGTGGGAAACCCAGAAGAAGCTCCTGGCTCCTGGCTTCAGATCAGTGCAGCTCCGGCCATTGCAGCCATCTGGGAAGTGAACCATCAGATGGAAGACCTCTCTCTCTGTCTCTACCTCTCTCTGTCAGCTCTGTCTTTCAAATAAATAAAATAAATCTTTAAAAAAAAGTGTGTATATGAAATACAGGAAATTTGTTTCCCTTACATAAATGAAATTTTTATAAGTTCATGGAAAATGGAATTAAAAGATAATCTTCTTAGATGGAAAGAATTTTGGAATTCTTGCAAAGGGTCTTTAAAATGTTCATAGAAAATGCATACTGAGGAAATAATTATGCATGAATTTAAAAAATTTACAGAGCAAAATAAATTTTATCTTGTAATTCCATTTTCTAGGACTTATTGAAGCATCCTGATATTTACATTTCTATGTGGCATCTTCTCCAAGATTTGCTTGGTCTTTAAAAGTGATGAAATACTATTGATCTTGACCTAGCATAAAGATCACATCATTATTAACATGTAGAAAATCTTCAGGGACCAAATATTTAAGTGGTCATGTCTTACTTTTAGTCTCATTAGAAATTGATTCTCCTTATTGTAGGCTACAGGTCAGCTTTTACTGTGTACATGATACAAAACTGGAATTTTAAGAAAATATGAAACTGTTGTGCAAATGCTTGTTGTGACAATGGGGATCCAGGGGATCGAGTCATTTTGGTATTCAGTTCTCCACTGCAAGATAATCTGCTGAGTGGAAATATGTTTTGTCTACCATCTGTTAAACTGAAGAGCCTATGAGGCCAAGGCCACAACTTAATGATGGCCAAGCCTTCCCAAAAGATAAGTCTGAGATGAGAAAACACATTGGAAAAAGATGAGCTCAAGGTTAAAACTTTGCCTTTTCCACAGTTCTGTGTTTGTTTTTGATTCTTATTATTTCTAATTTCTCATATGCCATGTTTATTGTTGCTCTTCCCAACCCCATGCTTTCATTGGCAAACTCTGGCTTGCTTCTATCTGGAAAGGCTAAGGGCTCACCTATTTTCAGCTCAAATAAATGGTGTCATCACTCTGCAAACATGCCCTTGCTAAGCATGTTAATATTATGGCCTCAGCTTTTCCTTGGGGCCAATATGAGAGACTGCTGGATGAAAACGTCTGTAATACCACCAGTACTGCTGTTTATGCCCTTCTTCTATATTTTGGACATCTATATAGACCAAAGGACTTAGCAACAGAAACATACCCATTTCTGCTGATGGACAGATAGACTTTCAGTTATCAGTTAATGGGATTCTATAACCAATTGTATTTCCTTTTTTGCCTTGACAGTCTGGGAACTCAAAGATAAACATAGCCATAGATTTCAGGTACTATATTTGCCTAGGTTTTTGGTATATCTTTCTGTTCTCCAATATTTTCTTTTTCTAGTTTTGCTAGTCTCCTTCTCTCACTCATTATATCTCTATATGTATGTATGTATTATGCTCTTTGCTTGGATTCTGTTTTGAATACCTTTGGAAAGCATATTAGGTTTGTAAGTAAATAAATAATACATGTATTATTACTTGAATTAACACTAGAGCTCCCAGAATGCCTACTTATTCTAAGACTCCCTGTTTGTCAAACTGCTATTTTTGTGGGGTTAATTAAGGGAAAAGAAAGAGAATGAATTTAAGAGAAAGAGAAAATTTTATAATCACCCATTCTTCGCTAGCAATATAGATAAGTCATAATTCTGGCTTTACCTTACTATTCCAGTATTTAAAAAATTTCAAGAGCATTAGCTTCAGACATAAATGTGGGTCATCTTAAAAACAAATTGAACAAGTCAAACTGACATAAGAATAAAGAGTTTAATTACCACTGAGGTCTTTCTGAGACTCAGCCGATCAGTTCTTGTTCTGAAATAGGCCTCATCAAATGAAGAGTGGCTCCCTTTCAGTTTCTCGGACAGGTTCCTGTACAGGCGTTTGGCAGCATTGGGAGATGATGGGGCACTGTGTTTTTTTGACTGAGAAAGATGTAAATTCTGCATTTGTTGGGTCATTTTCATATGGCAGTTCCTAAGAATAAAAAAATCAGATATTGCATCATTTATACAACAGAACCTTAAATTGACAAAGAACTATATCATATCCAACAACCATCTGGAATCCTAATACAATATGATAGCTGGAAGGGACCTCAGAGACCATTCATACTATAAATGAGAGAGGGAAGTACGGGGGAAGGAAGCAGCTTGTTTATGGCCACAGAGCTAATTGGTGGCAGAAATGAAATGACAGTCTCTATTATTTAAACATATTCATCTACATATGAACATATATAAAGATATTCCAAAAAGTTCACAGAAAAATAGATCATTTTGTTACAAAAAATTCAAAATCTATGCAGTTTTTTAATAATACTGTTTTCCATGAATGTTTTGAAAAGACTTCATATATAATATGAACCACTCTACTCAGTCTTTTATCTCTATCCCAGTTGAGGATATGTCTTAATTCATAACTTAGGGATCTGTTTCTCTTGGACATATGTAACTGGTTCTATTTGGCTCCTCATGGATACTGGCCTCTTTAGGGTGGGTAAGAAAGTGTGGTTGCTTCCCTTGAGGTTGCAGTTAATTGTTCCTTTCATCTGAGACTTGATGAACTACCCTCATTTTAAGAGTTGGAAAATTTGTTCCCTGACCCCAGGGCACTCACAGCTGGCATTCTCCAAGTAGGACTTGGAGAGATCCAGAAACCTCTCTCTCTCTCTTTAAAGATTTATTTATTGATTTGAAGTTAGAGTTACAGAGAGAGAGAGAGAGAGAGAGAGAGAGTTCTTCCATCTGCTGGTTCACTCTCCAGGTGGATGCAATGACCAGGGCTGAATCAAGCTGAAGCCGGGAGCCAGGTTCATATGGGTCTCCTACATGGGTAACAGGGGCCTGAACTCTTGGGCCATCTTTTTCCACTGGTTTTCCCAGACCATTTGCAGGGAGCTGGATCATAAGTGAAGCAGCTGGACTTGAACCAGTGCCCATATGAGACACTGGTGTTGCAGACAGCTTTACCAGCCACACTGCAATGCTGGCCCCTCAGAAATCTCTTCACCAGGTCCCTTCCAATGTCACACAAGATACCATTTTCTACACAATCATGCTATTTAAAAAACTATCTATATTTTGGACATTGCTGCTGACATACTGACATACTGATGCTACCAAGGCTGTGACTGCCAGGCAAGTGAATGCGTACTGGATATACAAATGCAAGAGTGAAATAACTAGCCCAAGCATTTCATGCAAAGAGCCTGCATTCCTGGTGCAGCCTCTGGTGTGCTTGGTCCAGGACTCTCAGGAGCTTACTTCTGGCTTCCCACTACCTCTCCTCAAATTTTGAATGGAGTCTTCATTTGTAATGCTGCCATTGCTATTTGGCTGTGACCTTTAGGTTGTCTATAGATTTGTTTCCAAAGATTTATTTATTTATTTGAAAGGCAGAGAGACACACGGGGAAGATGGAGGGAGGGAGGCAGAGGAAACGCCCCTATCTGCTGGTTTACTCCCCCAAATATCCAGAGCAGCTGGGCTTGGCTGAGTTGGAGCCAGGAACATCATTCTTGTTTCCAGCATGTACGGTAGAAACCCAGCCAGCTGGAACAGTACTGCTGCCTTCCAGGATCAGCGTTAGCATGGAGCTAGTGTCAGAAGCTCAAGCTGGGCACCAAACCAAGCTGCTCTGATGTGGGACCCGGACAGCGTAATTGCCATCTTAACCACCTGCCAAATCCCTACCCCAAATCTAAAGTCTTCAGCCTCATACACAACTGCTTATCTCTGCAGTCACGATTCCTATTTTACTTTTACCCATTATGTGTTAGTCTTTGTGACCTTCTTGTTGAAATAGTTGAAAGTGTTTCCTAAGTCTAGGTCTTTGCATGTATTGCTTTATATGTGCTCGAATTCTATCTCTGCCTCATCACCTTGGAAATGATTATTGATCTATGGTCAAGTTGTCTCTGATATTTCAAGGCTGGTTTACTGGTTTCTTTACTCATTCACTTAGTGTGTGCCTCTATCGTAAATATTTTATTGTGCTAGGATTCTCTGGCCTTCTGTCTTTCAGCTAGTCTATATATTATGTTAGAGTAAGGTCTGCAAAGTCTTTAATTTTTATATCCATAGCACCTTAAATGTGCCTGTCTCATGAAAAAAGGAATACAGCACAGATTAGGTTATGAATTTATTCTCTTCTACCTCCTAATTCTATAATCTTGAACAAGTTACTTAACATATCCAAGTCTCATTGCTCTTCCTTATGGTTGTGAGAATTTGATGTATGTATGTAAATATAAAATGTGTGATGTATGTAAAGAGCTAAGTATATAGGAAGACTCATGGTGGCTAATGTTTTTGTTATAGAAGGCACTTAATAGATACTTCCAAATAAATAAGTGTTCATATGAGATACACCAGGAAATTATCTATAAGGTTCATTTAGTCTTCATGCCTGTGAACAGGGTTCTTTGTTATTTTAGTATCAATTAACCATGATTCACTTTCACTTTAACAAGTGGATGTCCATCTTCATTACACTGTTAAATAGCCTTGGGCATCTGTCTCTCTGGCTTGCAACTTCCTCTGAGGCAGAAGGATTCCCTTCCTTTCAAGGTGATCAGACCTAATCAGTCTTTGTCATGTATTTTAGGTCCTGCCCAGTCTTAGCTAAACAGACATATTTATACTTCAGAAATGATGCATACTATTATCTGCAATGTATATGTATGTGTGGGTGTGTTTATAAACAAATATCTAATACTCTTTTATTTTCACAAAAGCATGGATGGAGAGGGTAGGTGATTTGGCATTTTTTTCTTTCCATCTACAAATCCATTAATTTTGACTCAGCAGCAACTCAACAGGTTTTATCTGATTTCTTTCTTTACAGTCCCACAGAAATTTCAGATTGATATGCAAAGCTGGCTCATATGGGCATTGCCTTAACCTCCTCCCTTTTGCCTTGTGTTTCTAGCCTTTTCCTTCAGCATGTATTGCCCCAGTTCAAGCCATCTGTCTTGTCTACATCATTATCATTCCCAAAATAACTCTGCATTCTTTTGTATCTCCCACAATGCCCAAGAGTCCAGTAAATAAATTCTTGTCGATTGATTGAATTCCACTGACTTGCCCTCTAGCTGATGACACCTACCCACATGGTCCCTTTTGTCTTTGCTCATCTCCCATCTGTTCCCTTCATTCAAAATAGGTTGATTTTCTCTGTCTCTTTGACTTCCTCTCGTACTCTGCCAGCTGTCCCTTTCTTCCAGGCTACTCCTTTGCATGTTTCTACTCTTCTGGCTTTCATCGATCATTATGTTTTCTTTTTCTCCTGTATATTTAAAATGTTGTCAGATGAGACATAGGGAGAAAGACAATTTTCTGTTATCTGTTCTTATAACTGCATGCGCCTCCCAAGTAACTTTGCACTTAGAGTTTTAACACTGTGATTAGGGACAGCAAGTGAAAATCAGAGTGTAACTTTGCCCATGGAATTTGGCAGAATTAGGCTTGAATCTTCAGTCCACATGACTATTGGCAACTTATTTAAATATTGTGAGTTTTTGTAATTTATATGAGGGTTCTTCAAAAATACATGAGAAATGGAATTAAAAGATTATGTTGGTGCAAAAATTTTTTTTGAAACTTTTTTTTCCCATAACACACATTTGCCACAAACTTTTTGAAGACCATGTGTAGGTATGGGTTTTTCAAAATTTTATTACACTATTTATTACAGCATTTAGTTTTTATTTAATAAAAATGCAAATTTAAGTATTTTGGTTTGTGTCTTTTAGTAACTTTGGGTAAGGCAGAAATACAAGTGAACTGTTGGAATGGAACAAATGTAAATAAAAAGTTATAAAAACAAAGAAAACGGAATGAATTGAAAATGTAAAATGAAGTAGTAGTGCTAAGATTGAATTTATCTGAATACAAGACACTCAAATGTTTACTTTTCCTAACAAAAGACAAAATTATCCTAATTGAATTTTAAAAAACCCACTTACAAGTAATATACCTAAATAAACATTTCACATAAAGAGATTAAAAATAAAAGAATAGCACATCAGTGGAAATGTCAGACAAAATCTCCAAAAAGCCTCTCCTCCATAAAAACAATGAGGATAGTAGCAAAATCATCAGAATTAATGTTAGAATCCTGGAAATTAACCAAAGGCTTGTAGCAGTTCATGAAATATCTTTTCAAGAAAAGTAGGTGAATTCAGTAAGAACAGAAAGCTTCGTAGCATTTTAATTCACAATATTCCCATCTATCCCAGGTTTGTGATTGGTCTGAAAACTACCAGATAACATATGTGGTAAAAACAGTAGCCAGCCATTGGGGCCAGCGCCATGGCTCACTTGGCTAATCCTCTGCCTGCAGCACTGGCATCCCATATGGGCACCAGGTTCTAGTCCTGGCTGCTCCTCTTACAGTCCAGCTCTCTGCTCTGGCCCGGGAGGGCAGTGGAGGATGGCCCAAGTCCTTGGGTACCTGCACCTGCATGGGAGACCAGGAGGAAGTGCCTGGCTTCTGGTTTTGGATTGGCATAGCTCCGGCCGTGGTGGCCATTTCGGGGGTAAACCGAGGGAAGGAAGACCTTTCTCTCTGACTCACTCTCTGTCTATAACTCTACCTGTCAAATAAATTAAAAAAAAAAAAATAGTAGCCAGCCAGCCACTGGAGTGAGCAGGATGGGGTTGGGGTATCTTCAAAAGTCCATTTATAAAGAACTCTTTTTTCAACCTGATAGTTCCCTGGGAAACTCCATTCACAAGTCTTGTCTGACTCAAAACTACCCAAGAGCCTCTTCCTCTGGGGTGTTTGTCAAAAACGAACATCAACAATTGTTTAATAATTGTATAATATTGTTTAAAAGCTTGGAAATGAGCTGTTTATAGAGAACTTTGAAAGGTTCTGACATATCCCTGGGAATCTAGCAAACCACATGCATGCCCAGGGCTGAGAACATGCTAAGCAAAGACCTGAGAATATCCTAAGCCCTCATCTCTCTC